GTAATTTCTGTGAAGTGTTAACTAAGAAGGACTTACCTGCCAAAATGTAAGTATATGTTTGTTTTTAAGCACTTTTTATTTTCATTCTTCTGTGGGAATCATCAAAATATGATAATTTATTGTTTAAATTCTAAACTTCAAATATAATAAACTAACTTGAGACAGGACCAATGCTGAGAACTCAGTAATTCTTCTTATACCCATTGGATTTCAGGTATCTTTCTAGCTCCCAAATGCCTTTCAGATCCTAGATATAGCTCAAAGACAAAAAAAAGACTTTTACTTTCTTTTCAAATATCCATCAACAGATTGCCTACTTCATTAAGTAGCCTTTTCCAAACTGTGCTGTGCATAATGATAACTTCAAATGTTGTATTAGCAGCTGACAGCATAAATCTATAAAAACTAATAAACCAACAAAGCCAACACAACAATCAACCAAACAAAAAACCCCACAAACATTCTGAAACTTTTCCAAAACAGATTCAGCCATTGCATTCACTTCTGTTCTGTTCTGTAACATCCACACGCAGTTTTCATAATGTTTTTGTTTGCTTTTTTTTTTCTTCCTTTTTCTATTAAATAATAGGGCATGGGTCAGACCTGTAATATTCTTCATGCAGCAAATAGTAAAAAGGAGACAATCCATTGCTCCAACAAGCGCACAGCCTTATCCTGCATGTAGTGATGCGTGTGTGAAATCCAAAGTCACTAATTATAAAACTAATTTTTATCAATACTTGTAGGAGTAAATCTACTTTTGACTAATAGCTTACTAAGATTGGCCTGATGCGTGAAATCGAACACAAAGAAGAGGACGAAAGTCAACACAACAGAAAATGTTAATCAATACAGCTGAATTAGAACTTCTTTTGTTGTTTCTGGGTTGGTTACATTCTGAATGTCCTTTGTGAAAGGAAAATGTGTTAACTGAAAGCAACTGAGGCTCAGTTCCAGGGCAAAACATGGCTCTTTGTCCCTGTGTGGGTATCTCACCACATGGAGATGGCAGCAGTGGTATGGGACACACAGAAACCAGGATGTTCAAATCCCTGTGCCCTGGCTCTGTGGTCACCGCTCCCTCCAAAACACAGCCACCACATGATGAAAGCCTGAATCCCACATCATGCATGAGTCAGATCACAGCCAGGCACACACTGATGTTCTGCAGTTCAGAGAGCTTCTTGTGCACATTCTGTGTGTTGGCACCAACTGCCCTTCCTTGGGTGTGTTGGGGTGGGCACAGACCCTAACAATTAGGCAGTGTTAGCTACTGGGGTGAGAAGGGCTCTCTGTGACTCAAGGCAAAATGAATTCAATTCCCACAGCTGCTAAATGACAAAGACTTCAGAGATACCACTTCTTCACTTTGAAGGATAGCAGGACACAGAACAGGAGGGGAAGAGGTGAACGTCATCCTAAAGAAAGGACAGCTGCTCAGAGTCCCACCTCCACTGTTTTTTTGTAAAGGGAAACCCCATGGTCCAAAAGCCACAGGGAAAAAGGAAAGAAACAAGGCAGTAGAAGATTGCCCTTACTTCTATATGATCCAGGTTCTTTGCAAATATAACGGATTGTTATGTTGCAGGAAAACTGAGCAACTAGCTGGAGCCCTCCTGCAGAAATCAAGGCCAGAACTGCACAGGTCTTTGACCTTGTCTGATTTTCAAGGGCATTTCTCTTAGCTGTTTTGCAAACTATGCTATCTCAATTTTGGTGACTGCGTCAGCCTAAAATGCAAAGCACGAAATTCAGATACCTCCGAGACTGTTCACTTTCTTTTTGATTTCTCTACCAATATTATAATGCAATATATAGAGGGGCTATTAGAGCATTCCGAATTAATCTATTCAAATTGTTATTGTTTGGAGAGCATGCATTTTTCTGAGAATCACCTACCACTCGTACCCATAAACTATGCACTGTATGGAAGGTTGGATAACATCAAAGGAAGCAGATCCTTTTCAGTAATATATTGTATTCCGTAAATCAGCTTGAAAGGTATTTTTCGGCTCATTTTGATTTTTATGCTTCCTTTTTCCTGCTGCTTGATGTAAAACTGACAAAGTAAAACTGACAATAAGCAGCAGAGAGATGCAAGCTTCCTAGTACAGAAGAGTAAACATTCCTCTTAACAGATGGAGTCATTTTCACTTTTATTATCATTAAAAAACTTCAAAACTCAGTGCAAGTGAAAAGAGCCAACGAGCTAGCAGTGTGCTCCTGGATGCTGCTTTGCAGCTAGATTTTTACAGTGGGCTGTATATTATCTTTAGACGATCATGTAAGACAATATCAGCTCTATATATAGTATAACCTTGAAGAATATGGCCCAATACTTGGTGTAGGACTGTGGTAATTGGACTGTGAAGGATAAGACAGCCTACTTAATTTGAGTCACTGTGCTGTTATCACCCAAAAGCTAATACTTGCCACAGCAACACTAGACTGCAGATATTGCCTGCTTTCCAGAACTTAATAGTTTCATTTCCAATGTAGAAACTATGTAGAGTGCAGATGACAACCAGAGAGCAAATATCAAAGTTGAAAATGGGCTGTAACACATACATGGCCACTGCTGAAGTGGAAAGAGAAAACACTTCCTAGGGAAGCAAGTCCTTGAAGGACACCTCATGCCTGAGCTGGCAAAGCTGTGAGCCAGACTGCATTTGCAATGCAAGACAAACACCAAAACATCCATGGGATCAATTCTTTCCCATCCCTGTCTTTATGAATCTTCTCCATGTAAATCTTCCCTGCCCTTTTCACTGTCACAGAGGAGCTTGCTATTCTCAGCAATCTATGGACATATGTTATAAAGTAATGTACACGATACTGCGAGCAGCATCACACACTGAGGAAATCATTCTTTCTGTTAGGAAAAATATTGTGAATAATTATTATTAATTTTTCTTTTGGTCATCCAATCTTGTGCTGTTTTCAGTATATGTTGCTTTTTTTTTTTTTTTTCTAAGAACATCCAGCATTTAGGAATGTCTCACAAATTATTTTGGAGAGGAATACACATTATGAACCACGAGGGTTTTAAACTACAGCTACATTTCCAGATTCATAGAAGCTGGCCCACATTTAGATGTAAAAACTCCATGTACAATGTTTCCTTTAAATTTTCGCTGTTATTTTACACACTCAAGTAGCTGGTGGTAAATTGTAAACACTGCTGAAACCTGCAGAGATCCTTTTATAAAGAGTTTAAAAAGTCATTTCAGATTTAAGCCAATGGGTTGTTAATTTACTTCTGCATTTGGGAGCTGTAAAACTGTAACTATAGCATTTTATTTTCGTATATAGCTTGTAGACTTAGTATAAAAAGGATTTTGTTTGTTAACCACAACTTTTTGCTTGACATCTCCTTTAGCTACAGACCCATTTGTGAGAGCATTTTCTTTGCCTGAAATGGGCAGCAATTTAATTTTCTTTTTGCTTCTTTAATGTATCAGCAGAATCAGTTAGATGCTGTGAATGAGTAAGGAATAATAATATTCGGAGAAAATTGCAGAAATAAAGAGTAAATAACTCAGTGTTATAGAAGGATTAATATAATGGGATCACTCAGAAACTATCAGGATCATTAATGAAATTAAAGTATAACCCATGCTAATTTAAAAATTCAGTTAAAGGCTATGTTTAAAATTACTTAATGTCAAGGGAAAATATATATAAATTATGAAAATAATTATTACAGAGCTCTGTCTGGAAAGTACCCATTTACACAAGCCTAAAGTCACCCATTGAGTTTATTTGCATTGATACACTATATTATCGAGCAGAAAATTATTAAGTGAAATGGCTTGGTTCCATTTACTTGTAGATACAGCTAAAACACAAATAAAGATACAAACACATTTTTACTGTTTTCCTTGAATTATCTCCATCTGACTTTCATGATAAATAATCTTAAATTAATTCAATTTTCTGAAATAGATACTCTCGTACTTATGGCACAGATTAACTGAGGACACAGAGGAGTCGTGAGGGGGTGACAGCAGCACACAGAGAAAAGGCTGAATTGCTGCTGGGTTCTTTGAGCTTCTGTCCATCAAATATTGCAGAGTTATATCATAGAATCATAAAGATTTGAAAGACTAATAAGATTACCTATTCTAATCACCACCATACCGCTAACCTATGTCCCTCGGTGCCACATCTACATGGTTCTTGAAAACCTCCAGGGATAGTGACTCTACCACCTCCCTGGGCATCCACCCACTCCCCGTATGTACACTTACAAAGCATGTGCAAATACAACCATCTAGAGATCACAAAGTTTTCTGTTTGAGCATCGGCAATATTTGTCAACAAAATGTATAAAACCTAACAAATATTTTGTTATCATGGTCTAAAAGGAGGATGGCAAATAGTTAAACTCCAAGAAGAGGCTTGGAAATCTGCTACCAGTGAGAGATTGAAGCAGCTGAAGAGATGGTTAATACAGATTGGGATAACAAGTTGACATCTCAAATCCATGTCTGTCTTTTTACAGATCTTCAGTGGAATCTGGATTTCACCCACAGTTTATGGGAGAATAGGAAGAAAAGTTTGTAGACAGCAGTAGAAGTTATTTTATAGGAGTCTTTGCATAGCTGAAGTGACAAAAGCCTTATTTGTCATACACCTGGAAAATTTCCTTGCCATTAGAAGTTTGTCATTAAAATTCAGGTGTCTTTGCTAAATTCATACAGTTAAACAAAAAAAAAAGTGATTCTAATGGAGACAGCAGGCCAAATTCTAGGGTATGGTTTTGAGAAAGCTGGAACAAATTATTTCAATCATTTCTTTAAGATATAGAATTCAATGCTGGTCCTAAATAGGTATTCACTGAGGTTCACAGATGCAGCACAGCAATATTTTTTCCCTGTTTGCCCCATGTCCTGAGCAGTCCTGACGCTGACATTACACTTGATTGATACTGAATACTGACAAGTGTGGAAGAACTGAAGCTGGCAGAAAATGATTTGGAGACCATACTCTTTGAAGTTTTAACAGAGTTGGTGCAATGAGCACATACTGCAGGAAGTAAATAGCTCCTGCACGGACCATGCACCAAGATGATCACAAGCAGGATTTGCTGTCAGTGACAACCTTTCTGGCCACTACCACAGTCCATGCACAATTATAGTGAGTTACTGAAACATTACAAGTCCAGCCATTACAAGTCAGTAAGGAGGTAAAATCTGAAGTAGCTCATTGTCCAGGATTCCAAAGTTGGAACAGTAAAACTACAGCCCAAATTCAGATATAAATGACAAATTACTGTGATTAGTATCCTTCAGGTCTCCAGATAGACTCTATAAAGCCCCTCCAAATCTAATCAAACATACTCCTGCTCAGTCATTAAAACATGCAGTCATAATGGTCATGTTCCTGCAAGCGCAATTAATTTGGTCCAGTTTGTGAAAAGAAGCCAGAGCTGAGAGAGTTTTTTGTTTTTCGTTTTTTGTTGTTTCAGGTGACCTGATGATTTGTTTCCAAACCTGGAACAGTCTGTGCCTTTCTTTTAAAAACAAACTAGGGAAATATGTGGCTTTAAAAGCAAAAACACATCTGCAGAAAGACTTTGCTGAATGTATTTCTCCCTTATTCTATTTGAGATGATCAAACAGTAGGTTCTCTTTTATTCAATGGCTCTCTTATAGTCACCATATTCAATTACATTTAACATACTTTAAAGTTACATACAAAAGCTGAGCCAGAAGAAATAAAAGAATAGAAATAATCTTTAAGTAAAATAATGAGTTACTAGCACAATCTTATATATGCACATCCTGAGCTGAATCATTCTTTCCCCCCAGTAATTTAGTGATATCAGTTACCAAGTGTAGTCTGCCTTTTTGTCAGCGTATGACCCTAAACCAGTTTTTTAATGTTTCACCAGTCCAATTAGAAACAAAGGATGCAGTAAAGGAGAGACAGAAGGATAAACAATACAACATCTTCTCTGTAATATGTAAATTTAACTAGAAAGAAAACCAGCACAATACTTCACTTGAAACATTCAAGATGTAGCTGTGCCAAACACCAAATGCAAAACCAAGACTGTTAGGTAAATCCCATCACCTCCAGTCCCTGACACAGAATAGGAATCTAACAGCAAATGTTTTCTTTGTTCACAGATCAAGCTATTCTTTACCTGTACTCAGCTCAGCTCACACCTGCTTTTTTGCTCTCTCTCTGCCTTTGTTACATCCCTGAACAACATTAGCAGTGGCTCTCTGCATAATGCTTTTGCTTTTTATCCCATTTCCTCCCTGCCCCTGCCCAGGTACACACAAGGCAAGCTCCCATACTACTGTCATGCAAATCTCTCCCATACGTGTAAGGGAGCTACACTCTTACCTAACACAAACTTGTCTTATGCACTGTGCAGTCCCAAACATTTCAGATGTTTTGAGTTTCCCGGTGTCTTCTATTCATTCTGCTCTGTCGGGTAATTGTCAGAGGCTGCATGCTTTGAAATCTCTGTTCCAACAGTGTCACATTAGGAGAAGAATATTAGCCTTGGTGTTCAGTAACAGACTGAAAGCAGACCTGAGAACAGAAAAATATGAAAATGGACAGAGTTTATTAAACCTAATATAAAAATAGACATTGCCTTTTAAAATAATTTAAGTCATGTGGGCATCGGAAGGAATCAAGAACGAACGCTTCCAAAACTCCAGGTTAATTTTTAAAATATTATTGGAAGTTTATGGATGTTTGACCTCATTAACTAGAAGGGTATAAAGTTTGGTTTAACTTGAGTGAACAGAAGCAAGCAGCATTGCACTGAACTGCGCTCTTTGCTGAGATCCAGGAGGACTCTGCCTTCATTCCCAAACTTCTGAGTTCTCTGATTTCTTTATTAAATCCTTCATAAGTGTAACGTTGTACATACGAAGGAAACCACACAGTTTTTCGTTGCAAGTTATTTGACCTCACAAATCTTTCACCAGATCTGACTTCTGGGGCTTGAAAGGTCAAGACAACATTTTATCCTGAAGAGTTGGTCAATAAGTAGTTGAAAGGCATAATTAATTAGTAGTAAGTTATTTAATTTCAGAATAAACAGGGATAAAATAGGTCAGAATAACTGAATTAAGAAAATAAAATCCAGTGAACACGTCACAGGTGCACAAATGAGACTATTTAGCGTACTGTGGGCTCACTTGAAAACAAAACAAAATGAACCAGCAGAAATCTGAAGCAAACAAATGCCTGAATAAAAAGTAAAGAAGTAAAATATAGAATAACTGCTGCAAAAATAATTGTGTGCTACTTCATCAAAATTGACACTCTAATAATAATGTTATTATATATATAACACACAAGAGTGATTAGTGCATTTGCAACAGAGCAGAACAGACAAGAACTGTCTGCTCCAGCAGTTTCAAAATAACTTTGAATAATACTGTTTACAAATCTTAATGCAAGTACAGAATGTCAAATATTGCTAAGCCTCACTGTAAAGCTGCCTTCCTTCTTTCTTGTCTGTGTCTCATCCATTCCAGACTTTCTTCTCTGCCCCAGCCTACAACTACTGCTGCTTTACTACCAGCAAGACTCCAGCACATCCTGACCCCAGGATTTTACTATGGAGATTTTTCTCATTCCTATATGTCTGGCCTTTTTGTGCCTCTTTGAGCTTGCCTTTATCACAGTCCCACTGTGACAGTCCCCTATCCACAGGAAGTCCTACAACTACACCAAGTTGTTAATTATTGCTGCCCTGAGCCTACAGCAGATCTACCATTTCTAAAGATTCCCAAAACGTTCTGTCAGCAGCTGTTTCCACCACTGATTTCATTGTTCATTTGCCTTGCTGTGCCCACTGCCCTCACGCAAGGCCCTTCTTGACAGCTTACAAAAAGCAGCCTTTTTTCTGCAGAGCCATAATATGCAGACTATCCTGCTGCCTCTTTCCTCTGGGAATTTACAAACCTATGTGCCATGGTATCCCTAATAGTGCTGTTGTAGATAAGTAAACACCTTTCAGACTGTTCATAGCATTGCAACCCAAAGTAAGTAGTCGAGTTCCTATTGTCTGAATTGCTTAAAAAGTATCTTATAACACACACAGTGAAAGTTCATTATTGGCAAGGGACAAAACACAGCAACTTATAGGATGTTTTTTGTCTCTGCATTTTGTGATATCCTGAAGAGCTTAACTGCAAGAACTGGGCACATTTCTTCCAGTGTGAACAATGGCTCTAGGTTACATTATGCACCTTTATTGCCTTACCATAGTTATCCATTGGCAAGTGTCAGTTCAGGTATCCTTAGTGGTTTTATCAGTTATTCCTTTAGTATCTGGGGAGGAACTGCTTTTGTTTCCTGCTTTGCATAATGGAGGAATTCAACACAGGTCATGAGAGTGAAAACACTGCTCTGCAGTCACTTCAAGTCTTAATTTCTTTAACAATCTGATCTCTCCAAACTACACAGTGCTGGTCACTTCTCAAATTCTGTTCTGCCTTTGCCAAAATGCAGATGAATTGGCATGCTTCCATGCATAGAAACAGGAGAGCACTGCTTGGGAAGGCATGGAGAGCACACACATTTGTGTACCACATGGGAATGCAGATGCCTAGAGAAGCACAGAAGAGAATAACTATAGAGGTCATGATTTGTAATCAAGCGGCACCTTTTTTGCAAAGGAGAACAAGTGCAGGAAGAATGCTTCCATGGTCATGTCTTTACAGTCCCACTGTGACCACATGGGTGCTTTCTTCACACATGTAGATGTTCAGAGTTTAGCCAAAGAACTGATCTTGTGACCAGGGTGAGTTAGATGTGAACGCTTACAATTATTCCAATTATTCCTCAAAGTCTTCCTTTTTTTTTTTTTTTTTGCTTTTGCTTTAAACGTTAATATTTATATCAATAAGTAGTAGACTCAACCACTTTCTAGGCTTCTCTGTTCATCTGTGTACCAGTTGTATCTTTTTTTCCTCAGACAGCCAAAGATTTTTCAGCTGCAATAAAGAAAATGCCAAGGGAAGAGAAGGGTAATACCTTTTAGCATTTATGTATCTTTTGAAGCTCTGTGTAAATGGTAAGGCCCCTCATTTTATTGCACACTGTTGGCATTAGTTGGAGCAGGAATCTCATAATATCAGCTGGGAGGACCCACGCACAGTCACCACAACCCCAGGAATAAAAGAATTAACAGCCTTAAAAAATGGAAAAGTTTTTAAAAGAGATATTTTAAAAGGCTTGACTCGCAGCCAAGTGTTAAGACACTTAAAACTTGTATTTACTATTTAACGATTGAGATGAAGTATCATAATTCAGCAGCATGGAATGGGACCTCTTACTGGGAAGGCTAAAGAAGAAAACCAAACCAGTACAAAAGGAAACCCCCTCTAGGGAAGCTCTCACACATTTGGACCTTGAGTCTAGTTAGAGTAGGCCAAAACCTGATACTTTTATCTCCAACCTTTGACCCTGACATCTGGAAACTTAGTTTGAGTCAAACAGAAGGAAGTTTTCTTTTCTATTTCAAATACTTTATAGAAGAAAATCTCCAAGTATCTACAGTCTAACTCTGTTAGTACAAACTACTTTTATTTGTGCACTTGTAGTGAACTCTAAAATATGGAACATTTGCGCAGGAAATGCATGCGTCAGAACTTTTGGGAAAAGAGAGTAACTTGGTGAGACTGGCACATTGTTCGATGCTTGTATGGGATCCAGATAACAGCCCAGATAAACATCTCCAAGGGGGTGCTGAAGAGTATAAAAGGTCCAGTTCCTTTGATGTTCTTAGATGTTCTCATTTAATAGCTATCAGCCCTGGTGCCAGAAATAACAACATGTTTAAACATTCTGTATCAAAACACAAATTCATTTAGCGTAACCTGTGTTTCCAAAGTTCATTTTCATCTTTAGCTGGAACACTAAGTGTGATGTAACTCATGTTCTTCCTGGCAGTTATTTTCATTATTATGTTTATTACTCATTTAAGAGACTTTTTTTTTTTTTTTTTTTTTAACAGAGGGATTAATGAATTTAGACTGCACATTATAACATCAAAAGCTTTGGTTTCAAATAAGCCCATCTGAGCTACAGGAGATTTTCTCCCCTTATAGGAAGCTAAACAGCAACTTCAAAAAACATATCTGTGTTACAGTATTATTTTCTAGTTGACTGAAGTCATGGGTTTTATGTCAACCTGTTATATTTGCATATAATAAATGACTACTTATTTGTATTGTCCAAGCAACTCCTTTAACCCACAATCTGTTAAGATGTCAGATGCTTTCCACAGATACCAGCTCTCTTCTCAAAAGGATTTCTGATCACGTGAAAGAACAAAAACAATAATAAAGGAACTTCTTGTTCATAATTCAAATGATTGTTTGAGATCAGTTCATCAGAGAGGGAAAAGATGCATGCAAGCATTTTAACATCATGCTGCTCAGACCATTAAACTATAACAGTTAGAATAAAATAGAGAACAAAGAGTACATTAACATGTAACATTTAGCAAAAATATTTGTATGTTTCTTTTGATCACTAAGCCTATTTATGAGTGAAATGATCTTTTTCTCCCTCTGTTTTAGTTGATGGCAAATGTGTAAATTCTCAACTGAGTGCAAGCAGAGATCCCAGAAATCAGCCTGACTTCATATCTGAATGCAGAATTCTGCTGAATTTTCTGTTTAATAGATCTCCTTAGGATATATGAAGTTCCCCCTATTAATGATTTCACTAGAAACGTCAGAACACCTCGCAGGGCTTGCAGGCCAAAATGCCAGGTAACCAGGCAAAATATTTTACTTGTTTTCAGTGGGCTTAGACAACTTGACAGCATAGTGTCATAGAATGGTTTGCACTGGAAGGAACCTTTAAGATCATTTGGTCCCAACCCCCCTGCTACAGGCACAGACATCTTCCCCTCAAAGCCCTATCCATTAAGCACTGTTTTTAAAAGTCTGAAACTTAAATGTCAAGTCTTTGCATTTACTTGTGCAGATGGAACTTCTCTTACATCAGTGGAAGACAAAGGCTCCAGCTAAGGAAACCTAACAAACTTAACAAATGCTTAACCTCTTGTTATCATGAAAAGGTATCTTAAGGAGTTCAGTAAGTAGGAAGTATCTGTATGTATCAGATGACAAAAGAAATGCCTTCTTTGAAAGTGCTGCAAGTTCATTTACATAGCTTGAAGTTGCTGCTGATTAACATTATGAAAAATCAAATCTGTTAGAAACAATTAGCAAATTACTCTTTGGAAGCAGCTTATTACCTAATTGTCACATGTCTAGAAAACATGCATCCCTGCAGGAGACACACACAAATGTGTAACTGGTCCATAGTTTTTAACAATGAGAATGGAGGAGTTTTCACCATTTTGTATTATACAAGGCTGAGCGGTGTCTACATGCTTGCAGTTGCTGAGGTTTTAATCTTGCTTCTCAAAACTTGTTCAGGAATGCCTATCCACCTGTGGTACTAAAAGCAATCTTGTGATACCTCCTTTACTGTGCAGTCTGCAGATGTTTGTCAGCCTCTATTTTTCATAAAAGTGAAGACCAGAAGATAACACCATCTACCAAAAACATTTTCCCTTGCACTCTGGCAGCAAAACTGGATCATCCCAGTTGAAACTTGTGTATCTGCAGAGTAAAATGAAGAAGTCCCTTCCACAGTTTCAGATGGCTGTCACTTTAGTATCAGACTGTTCATCTTACCTTAAGGGCCATCTGGTCCTCATGAAAGGCCGTCCTGTTGACACTACCATTGTTGTGTGTGCAGCTGACTGCCATACAGCTGCCAAACATGCTATTACAGCTCCGGACAATACTTCACTTGGCTCTTAATTCAGGCTCTAGGAGGAAGAACACATTATTTAGCTTAAATGTTTTGTTTTCGAGAACTCATGAGAACTGTGGGTTCTAATCATTCTCAAGTTCATAGTTAGGCTGTAGTTATTATTGATACACATGCTCATAGAACTTAAAACCATTACCAAAGTTTACAATTAATTCTCCTTAATTTTACATCAGCATGCTTCAAGCACACAGTGCACTAGAAAGTAAAAGGTCAGGTAATTTTGGTAATTCACCCTGAAAGTCTGTTAAGCAAGCAAGGTAAACAATTCAACTGGAGAAGAATTGGCCAATTCTATTTTACATGTAATTGATGAGATGAGAAAGAAAATAGCAATTGATACCAAAGTTAATGAAAACAAGAGGAGACAACAACAAAAATAATTTCACATACTTATCTGCATTTTAGTATACAGGAATATTAGGCCAAACAATATAGATGGGAGGCAATTAATTCCATCTTCACAACTCCAAAACCAAATAAATAGCAGAAGTGCTGAGCTAGATTGGCTTTTTCAGTTCCAAAATTTCCTTATGTCTCAGCTCCAGCAAGGGGCATATTCTTCTTTTGAAGCCTAGACCTAGCACGAACATTTAAGGCAGTTATGCACAAATCAAAAGAAAAACCTAGTTTAAGCAATTTATGAATCTGAATATTCTCTCTCTGACCAGAGCAAATGCAGGATTATCTCTAAGAAAGTGCCAAAACGCCAAAATTTGTCATATTGTTTCTGCTGTTGAATATGTCTGAGGGAAAAAATAAGGAGAGGGAGAAGTAGAATAAGGAGAGAAATTGAGAATGGAAGAGCGTGACAGGTAAGTAGAAGGGAGAAATGGGGTGAGGGGGCGGAGAGAAATACTTCTACCTGCCCCAATTTGAAAACTGTTTATAACCTTTTCTTTCATTTTTGGTATGTTTTCCTTACCATTTTGGAGACCAAATCCATATTTGTTTATAACTACATCCAAGTATGTTAGCCTTCCTAAAAGACCTTATTGCTTTCTGTTCGCTTAAGGAACCACCTGTACATGGCACAAGTTCAAGATGCTTAACCTTGTGTACATAATACCATGAAATACTTGTACTAGCTTCCACTTTTTTCAGCGTCTTCAAAACCTACAAATTAATGTATGTTCTCATCATTATTTTCTGATTAAGAACCCTTGATCTTTCACACATGTGAAAAAGGATTCTTTGGTCATATATTCCCATTACAGAGCTGATTAAAGGAGTCCCTTATTCAGTTCTATTCTATTCCTTTCCAGCTTAATCTCTCAGATAAATAATTTCCTTTCCCTTACTTCTTTCCCTCGACTATCTTTAATGGATTTTCCCATACATATTCTCTTTTATGTAAATTTAAAATCAGCTAAAAAAAAAAAAAAGTAAAATTTAAGCTCCTTCTTTAGAGAAGGTGCTTTTGTAACCATTCAATAATTATCACTGTGAAGTCATCATAAATTTGCTCTTGATCATAAAGACAAAAATCTCCACTGAGATACTCTTCAAAACAAGTCTTGTGTTCAGTGGAAGGTCAGTGAACCAGAGATGTTTCCTAACTAACTAAATAAATCAATCCTAGGATCCACCAACACATACTTTCCAATGATACCATCTTTCTTTAGAAACTGCACTGCCCTTGCTACAATTCAAGTCAAATTGCACAGAACAGACACCGTGACAAGATGTGACAGACCTGCGAGATATGGTTTAGTGCTGGTGGTAGCAATAGTAATGGGAGGACAGTTGGACTAGATGGTCTTACAGGTCATTTTCAACCTTGTGATTTTGCTGAAATACTGACAAAATATTAGTCTGGCTATCAGACAGACAGAAACAGCAGTGATACATACAGAAATCTATCTGCATTTCTTAAAAAAACACCATCCTAAAATATAAAGATTTCCTTGTCAAAACTCTGCAGAGCCATGATAAAAAGTTAGGCAATTAATAAAATAAAATGACAAAAGTAGTAGCTAGTGTATTAGTTGTTATTAAGGTTAGTGACCATATCAGATATAAAATAAAAAATAATTTTAGATGTAAGCTAAAACATTTATTACAGGTGCTTAATCATGAAATTCTCTTAATCGGGACATTTCCCAGGGAACCAAATTAAACCTAATGATACTTAATGGCAAGGACTGCTGCTTAATTGGGGTGGTAATTCCAGTTAATTGGGATTCCTGCAGGTGAGTAAATGGTACTCAAATAGAGATACTGTGTCTGGCCTTCACTATGTTCAGATATTGGTGGTGCTTTGTCTTCCCTAAAACAGCCTCTCCTGTTACGGGATCAGCAAAGCAAAATTACTTCTGTGCTCCCATTTTGGTCCTTTCAAACATTGCTTAAAGTTACAATCACTCTCAGGGCAGGCAGTGCAAGTCTTCATTGAAAGCTAGTGAATCTTTATTAGCATTTAATCATGACAGAAAGATCATATCCAGCTACTTCCCTTACCGAGGAGATGCTTCTGACTGAGCCTTTAGATTTCGTGTAGTTGCCAGAAAGATATTTGAAAATTGTTGGTAACAATTTCAAGTACAAAGCAGCATGTGCTAGCCAAATGGTTTCTGCACTGGCACATGAGGACAATTTTATTACTACCAAAAAAACCCACCCTACAATAAACTCATTTTTCAATGCTAACAAACAGAAAGACCTACCCATTCAAGGCGCACTTGCTCTTCCTTGAGGTTTTATTTCAGTCCATTACATGTATGCAGGCACACACTAATATCTTCAGGTTTTTGTTTGTTTGTTTTTCCTTTTTGTCATTATTGAAATAAGCTCAAGTACTACTTAGGCTGCTACACAGCATCTGAGACCCTGAAACTAAGCACTGCTAATGACAGTCAACTTATTAGAAAGCTATGTTTTCACTATTGCTTTCTGAGGTCCTTGCTATCCTCTGAGGGATGGTGGCACACAGCACACCAGGCTGTTCTACCTCTGCCTGAGCTGGAAGACAGGCAGGTTGACAGTTCTGTGGAAAAAGCTGTAGCTGCAGCTCCCTGGGGAGAGCACTGTTCTCTGCAGGATTCTGAAAGCAAAGTGGAGTGGCCAGAGCTGTTGCCCCTCACAAATCCAACCAAATCAATCAGCTGCTGGGAATTCTGGAGAAGGAGGGAATCTTGGTCACTGCAGACCCTACTAAACTTGTACTGGCCATGAGCCTATACTCCGCAGGGTGCAGCCAGGCTGGCCAGCTGGAAAGGGATACCAGCAGTCAGCTGAAAGGTGGTGCAGGGTCCAGGCTGCTGGATACCAATGTCCCCATGTGATCTCAGTCCCAATTAGAGCCTGAAGATCCATAGAAAATGGGCCTTGTCTCCCATAGTGGCATGCAGTCACCTCTCTGTAAGCCTCAGGGGGGCTGCTGCAACCCAAGCAGTGCCAACATGTAAGACAAGCTAATGTCACAAGCTGGGATTCCCCTACACCTCATTTCTTACCAAAAGTAGGATGGATGGTGCCTCTGCCAGCAGAGACTTCTGGCTCCTGCTGAGATCCAAACCAGAGCTGATTTTTCCCTTCTCACTCCAAGTAGAGGTTCATAATTTCAAATTGTTTCACAACAGAAATATTCTGAACAAAAAAGCCATTCGGCAAAAGCTTGGAAGGGGCTGCTTTTTCTACATGATAGTGTACCCGTTAGTAAAAAGCACTGTTTCACCGTTCTGGCACATGAATGCCAGCAGAAGTTCAACTCTGCACAACCAGAGACTGCTACCTCCACGCATACTTCAGTTGGTGCAGCATTTTAATCCCAAAGCAGCACACAGTGTGGGATTTGATTCAGCTTTACAGTGGAGAGATCCACAGTGAGAAATTAGACACACAGTAAAATATTAGCCAATAAAGACACCGAAGCCAGATTCTCTGCACATGTCTTTTGCATTCTCAAGCATTTATAAGCTGCAGATATATTTGAAGTATCACCAATCAGCTCTTGCAAAAGGAAAATGAGATCAATAATTTAGGAAGCAGTTTGATCTTTGTGGCGGAGCTGTTTAAGACAAGTGCCACCGTTTAAATGCAATAACATTCTCAGGTGAAGAATTACAAAAGCTCTCACTTCAATTTTTCTTCCTCACACTACTTATCACAGATAAACCAAAATAACTGGCAGTGAAATTACTTGACCAAAATTATCAAGATGTCTGTCAAGCTACTGCTAATAACTCCCAGGAAGTCATGTTCCCACTGAAATCTATATTGCAATGACTAAACCAGTTCTTAATTTCTTACTGACTGCATCACGAGTTAGATGATTAAGACTGCAGCTACAAAATATCAATATATAATCACAGAGAAGCCTAAGTGGAAACCATTTGTCACGCTGACATTACACTTGAAGTTACAGATTTGTCACAAGGTTTATCATAAAATATTCACAAAAATAGAAGTATAACAGCATTTCTAAATTTTTCCACAGTCAACTGTTAACTTGAAGTCACAACTTTTCCTCTTCTGCACAGCATCCATGTGCAGAAAAAACACTGTGTACAGCAAAGATCCATCCTACATGTAGGATTAGCTTAGATTCAATAACTCCCTACCAGAGTCCAGAAAACTACAGGTTTGAATCCAAGTATATCCCTGGAGGAACAGAACAACATCAACCTATTAAAACAAACAGTTACAATAAGACTTTTTTTCATTTTGAATTCCAGTTTAAAAAATGTTAACTTTATTCTACTGGTAGGCGGATGCTGCCAGTTGTAGAACAAAGAAAGTTGATGAGGACTGTTTATCCTCAAGAAATGCTGCTCTAGTAATGAGAACTCGCACAGACTGTCTGAACCCATTAGGAATTAGCTGAGGGATTTTAATGGACTCTACAGCAATTTTCACTGTGTAAGGGGGAGAAATTGAATGAGTTTAAATAAGTAAAATGTAAATTGATAATCATAATCATGAAAAAGTTTAAATGTCAAAAAAGATTTTTGGTGAGATAAAATTAATGAGGACAGCAAAGGAAAGAGGGGAAAAAAGAGAAAATAAACAATGATTAGAAAAGTCAAGACTATTAATGTTAGAAATTAGTTATTGCAATGAAATGCAAGGACTCAAAAATGATTGAGTCAGCAGGTGATCAAAAACATAAATGAATATTAAAATAATGAAGGACAATAAGTCAAGGTGAACTAAGTGAAAATCAAGCCAGAACGACTTTAAGGAATTAGTAATGAACAGAAAGGGACATCTCCTCAGCGGGTATAAATCCACCAGAGCTGTGCTGATTTAGACCAGCTGAAGAGGTGAATGTGTGCAGTCAATAAATACTGGAAAAAAAAAAACTATCTTTCGCTCTTGGATCCTAATTGGAAGAAAGAAAAGAAAGCAGCCACCAAGGTAAGTTTCTGCCAGGAGTGCAACAAGCTGAAATTTTTCAGAGAAATCATTCCCATAGAAGTGCAGTCAGAAGTCTGATGTAACTATCTCTAAACTTGAACAAACATCATCAGGTTGCACTGCTCAACAAAATAAAAAACAGAAGACACACAATTCTGAAACATTTTCTTTGAGTGTTTTTGGAAGCTTTGGAAGCATAAGAGGTTTTCAGA